AATTGACACAGATTAATTATTTACTATTTTTTAATTGTAATTAAAATTGTTGATTTTTGAATAATTAAATATTTTTATACTCCTAGTTAAACTGAAATGCTATAATATTTGTTTTTTAATTGCTGTATTTTTTATGAAGTTTTTATAAAGTAGCTTTTTAGGCAAAAGTTTTATTTTTCATTTTTGCGTTAATTGAGAATCGAACACTACAATAGTATTTAAATATCTGATTTTCAATTAAATTTAAATCACATTTTTAGTAAACTGAGCTTTCTTCACAATTGTTTTTCATCACAAATTTATCAATTGTTTTAAAATTTCAAAACATTTGCTTTAGTGAATAGTATTCAACAACCAGTTTCAGTACTATAATTGTTTTAAGCTTAATATTTATATCATAAAAATAACATGGTTATATAATTTTGACTTAATATTATATCTAAAGTATAAAGATTATACCGGAACGTGTATTATTTAGTTTAATGACTGACAAAAAAAATGATTAAGGACAATAGATATTGTGTTTAAATTTTAGTAAAAATATGTAAGTACCTAACTTATTTAACTATTTAAAAAAAATTACCATAAGTTTTTCTTTTTCAAATAAAAGATATATTAGTTTTTTTAAATATTTCATGGTCATTATTACTTATTTTTAGGTAATGACTGTAATAACGTAAAAATCAGCATATCATTGCATGCCATTAGTAAAACAATTGAAGAAAATGTGTACATATAATTTGAATGAATTTAATATTTAAAAGTATAAAGGTCAAGGATACAAATAACAAATTTATAATAATTAATTTAGTTTTATTTAAATAAAAATTGGTTGTATTTTAATAGGTTAGTTCTAAGTACACATGTAGGTCCTTGTATAAAAAAAATATACCATCACGTAGTAAATTTATTTATTTATATCTAAGCACTCTCAAGTTTTATGGTTTAAATAATATAATAACGATACATTACATGGCTAACATTAACTACATACCACAACTTTATGCCTATTTGCGCTGATATATATATATATTTTCTAATAGTATTATTGTAGTGAATGAACCTTGTATTCAATTTTAGATGAGATTAATTGTTTTAATTACAATCTTATATCCTTGTTTTAAAGCAAAAAATTTGGTATAAAGCTACTTTTTAATAATTCGTGCGTATTAAAAATTGTTTGATGAAGTTCTCCATTAATTAAGATTTATCAAAATTGTTATGTTATAATTTTTACTCTTTATTAACCTTTAAGTAAAAGTAGTCATGAAAGACATTTTTTAATTAGTGTTTATGCTTATAAATGATAATGTATTTCATTTATATCTATTATCTTCAAATTAGTTTGTTTTCTTGTTAAATTTAGTTATCATATTAGGTGCAAAGTTTAATGATCCGTTTGTTAATAATTTCGTTTTGTATTTAATGTTTCATTAGTTAAAGTAAATTATTTTATCAGATGTAATATAGTTATTTATTAGTAGAGTTAATTTATAAAAAAAAAACTGCTTTAAAGAATTCTTTTTGACCATATATCAACGCCAATAAAAAATGACTTAACATTTTTTTAATTCAATTTCATTAATTAATTTAATACATGTTTTAATGTTAAGGGAAGTCTAATAAGTCTATTGAAAAATTTAATTAGAAAAGACTCATTATCAATTCTTTTAATCAGTTATCTACATTATCTTGGAATTGTTATTCGCGACATGTAAAAATATAAGACTATAGATTATATTAAATTTTATTTTTAACTATTTTATATATGTTAAACTATTATGTTAAATCTAACTTAATTTCTTGGGGATTACCTATTTGTGCCAAAAAAAAAATTCGTTTTCGGTACAGCCTGTTTGTGCCAAATAAAAAAGGTATGTTTTTTCCAACAGCCCATTTGCGTCATATTTACCTGCGTTAAAATTTAAAATTATAAAATTGGTTATAATTTGTATATTTAAAATATGTCGTATCTGTAACGTATAAAAAAAGTTATTTTTATAAGTCTATACATTTTAAATATAACTGCTGCATATAAGCGTGTGTCTGTCATAGACATAAGTATTCGTTCTAGGAAAATTATTTTAACTGAAATGAATAACTATACAATTGATTCAGATTTTACGAAAAAGTATTTACTATGCTTGTAAAAAATCTTTTTCTTCAAAACCTAAATCTGTGTTTGATGTTCATTAAGCATTGATCGATATAAATTTTACTACTTTTAAAAACGAAGATTAAAATGTGTATTGTTGATTATTATTTAAAAAAAATTCATACAATTTACTATTATTATCGATATCTTATCATTTTCAAAAAAATATGTACTTACTATTTATTACCTATTGCTTAAAATAATTTGTATTGTTGGTTATTATTTTTAAATATTCGTACAATTGACTATAATTTAAATAAAATTGTATTGATTATTATTTGAGAAAAAAATATAATACTTTATTATAACTATACCAGGTACATTTTTCGCAAATTGACTGTCGGAAAAAATATACCTTTTTTTATTTTGGTATAAATCAGCGATGCCCATTTCTTGAGATACATATAATATTTTAAATTACCTAAATTAACACTTAAACTTTATAAAATGCTAAAAAGTTCAAAAACAAAGTTTCATTTTTTAAACACTATTATCATTAAGGAATTTCACATAACATAGTTTATATTCTTTAAATTATATATTTTTTACACATCTTAATACTGCAGTAAAGTTGGCTATAATATTGTTTTTATAGTACATTAAAGATTATTTAGTGTCTATATTATTTAAAAAAAACAAATAGTACAAACTAAATTCACCCTTTACAGTCGCTGACATGACATGTGGGCGTAGACCTGGGTCGATTAGATAACAATGTCGCGTCATAAATCCGCAGTATCGCTAAGCAGTCAAGTCTACTCTACGGATCACTTGATAATTTATATCGTCAATTTTATTGTTTTTACAAATTCATATGTAATACATTTCTAAATTACTTTTACTATATGCGGTACATACAGTGAAATGACGCTTAAAACACTATTCTGAAGGAAACAGAGAGAACGTTTTATTGTATAATGTAATATACTATTATATGAACCGGGTATTTGCTGAAATCGACAAAAGCAAAACTAAATTGAACGAAAACTAAAGGTTGCAAAAAAATATTTTTGTTTCTACCTAAAACCCCATGAATATCTCATTATTTACACGATTTTGGCATAATTTTGTTATGGGTGGTTTTATTTGTTTTTTATTTTTATTTTCTTGACGATTATTTATTTTTCTTTCTCGCTACGTAATCTCTATTTCAGGACTAATTTTGAGAGCCTATATAACGATGTGAACATGACGTGTTAAGATTTCAATATCCATATTTAATAGTATATAAGTATATACATTTATTGAATGGAATCATTAGAATTTTGAATCTTAGAATTAAATGTCGTTTTATTTAAAAAAAAAAACTTAATCTCTAGATTTTCTTAATACACACACACATAATATATATATGGAGTTTCAACAACAATATTTAAAGTTTATAATAAAGGATGAACTTATTCTAAAAATATAGTTTATTTTTATAATGTGAAATAAATAAAAATGAAAAAAAAAATTATGTATACATATAGGTACTACAAATACTAACATTTTGTAAATTCATCGATTACATGTATATATATGAGGAAACTAGGTACTATTAAAATGTCAAGTTTAAGTTCTTTAGCTAAGATTTGATAATAAAAAACTCAAAATCAAAATTGCATTTTAAAATTGTAAATCTTTAAAAGATATAATGTGATAATATAGATACTATTTTAATTTTAATTATTGTATATAGTTAGCAAAATATAATAAGACTAATTTTATTGTTCAAGTATCTAAGAAAAAATTAATTTTTTTTTTTCATAACTTTAAAAAACTCATTATATTTTACTTTGTGAAATTATTTACTAAATCGTATTTATTTTATAGAAATTTAGACTTAAATTTTTCGAAATAATTTTTAATATTATTTTTAAATGGCAATATATTTTTGATTAGCGTTCAGCATTTCGTGATATGTCCTCGATTTTTAATACATTGGGATCGATGCATGATATTACTGTATCGGTCATACATGTCATGCGTTCAGTTTTTCAAATAATTTTAATTTTTCGATTTTTCATTGAAATATATCTTGTAGGTATAGGTATAATTTAATTAATTTTAATTGTAGATAATATAATTGATTTTCATATAATAATCGTAAATTATTTGTATACAATATAATATTTGCTTCATCATTTTATTTTAAATTTCAATTATTGTAAAATAATACTTGTGATAATAATAGTAATTAGTATGTATACCCATTAAACAAAAATTTTAAATGTTTTACGATCATATATTGTATATAATGTTAGCATTTTGGTATTGTGACATTGTGTTAATATTTTATAATATGAGCATAGGTATAACAATATTAAAATGCATTTGACGTACGTACGTTAAGTTACAGAATATTTTATACTCAAGTTTAGAATATTTAATCGATTATAATTATAATATGATTTTAAAAGTTAATATATAAATATTTATTAAACATAATGTATTCTATACGCGAGAAAAAGCTCTATGTTAAAAAAATAAAATGGCTATTATTACCTTGCTATTATTTAAAATAAAGAGAAACATGAAATCAAAGCGTTAATTATAGAGTATTGACTATAAATGGCTATTGTAATTGATTGATCGAATGTTACCCGCCAAAACATATTAATGAATCAACCATTGTATTGCTTGGATTGAGTTATTAACCATTTAGTTGATGGTCGATAAAAATGATGACAGGTGTATTAATATTTTTTTTCTATATTTTATTATTATGAAAAATCTAATAAATTACTTGTTTCATATAATTAAATTAGGTCTATATTTGCATTTAAATTAATTTTTAATAGTCAAAAATCGTTTTACGGTTGCATTTGATAATAATGTGTGTTGTTTTTTTTACAATTTTCAGGTGCAAAACCAGCAGAGTACCGCGGACGCGCATTTAGTGGATGAACCACTTTTTGATCCGTGTCCGTCGTTCTTGGGCTTTTGCGTTGCACATACATTCAGAAGACACGCGAAAAAATGGTTGTTAAAGTGACTGAAATAATCAAATTTGAAATGGCGATCGGTATGATACAATACATTATATATATTATATACACACTTTTTCTCACGATATAGTCTTAGCATTAGATGGAATGTATATTGCCTATAACATATTATAACGATGCAGTAACGTAGTTAATATTAATACGTATACATAATAATATAATAAAGTATTATATGTTCGGCAATCGTGCTTGTTTTAATATAGACGTGGTGCGGACGTTGCGACAGAAAATCATTGCCGTGTGTCGGAAGCTGGGTATTGGCATTTGTTTACGCACCGTCATACTGATATTTTGTCTCACATTCTTCTGGGTACAGATGCACATGTCTGACGTAGCCGACAACGAGACGTTACAGATACTAGCCAAGCCGGACGGACTACTGGACGCTAATGATTCTATGCTCCAACTGGTTCCACAGGTGCGATTTATATGTGCATACAAACAATATTAATCATACTTTTTGAATCATCCTGTATAATGACTAATGAGCTATAGAATTTTGATTACAGAATAATATTGGTATATATTATTTATTTATTTAATATTTTTATAGATATTTATTTATTTTCACGATAAATTTCGATGGTTTTTTAATTATAGCTTTCAAATTTTATTGATATTTTTATTTTACTTTTAAGTAATACATTACGTATTTATTTTTTGATGCTAAAATATGTTCTACATTTACCTTAATATTCTTATTCAAAATAAAGTACTCTTTACTTTTAATAACAATTTGATTAATCTAATCTATATTCACGTATAATATACGTATAACCTGTTTCATGCTCTTTTAATGATATTTATGCATTATCTACTACATGTTTATATCGGATATTTGAAGTCAAATCATAGGCGGATACTCGTGTTCAATTTCGTTTCTCCTGCACGATATAATATTGTATTGATTATATATATATATATACCTGCATAATAATTGTATCAAGCTTACATGTAGGTTTTACGTGTGTACTATAAACCTTATGATAGTTTATACTATATATATATATATATATATATATATATATATATGTATTAAGTATGTATATATATTTAACCATGTATATGTCGTAACCAGTGGTAGTTTAAAAAATTAAATGTCAGGGCTGTCATTAGTATAATTGCATTTGACTTTATAAGTACAAAACGGATCTGATGATATAATAGGTACTGTATACCAAACCTCTATAATATTAAATCAAATATTAGTAAGATGTATCTCATCGGAATCCATTGGCTAAATAAATGCATAAATAAAATTATTTAATTTTATAAAAATCATATTGTTCTATTTTACCATTTTTTTTTATTTTCTAATTTTTTGTATTTATATATTTTATGTATACAGCATTTGCACAAGTACTTGGTCGCGTTGCCCCAGCGTGGTGACCGTCCGCATCAGGCCATATTGCCCGGAAACGCCAGCGAACACGTTGCAACGACTGCCAGTCTGAACGCATCCGAAATACGACGTTTGATTGATCAGCAAAACTCCAAACAGATCGTTTTCAACGAAGATGTATATGGCCCATTACAAAACGATTCTCTAGTCATTGTCATACAAGTATGCAACTAAATTATTCGATATGTACCTTTATACATTATATATTTATGGACTTACAAATGCTGAATGCATAATTGTGTACTATAATTAATTCGTACTATGAATAGAAATGTCATTCATGTGTTTTCGCGTACTTATAATGTTTATTATTTTTAAATATACATAATATAAGACTTATTATACATTTCTGAATGAGTATTTGACACCTGCCTAACGGCCAGGAAATGATAGAATGTAATGACTGTAATTATATGATATTTTTATAATATTGTCATAATTCTATAGCCTGTATATATATATATACGATGTATGTTGAATTGATTGTTTTTTAGGTCCACACGCGTATTATGTATCTTCGGCACACCATAGTGAGTCTGGCTAGGGCGCGGGGCATCGAAAATGCATTGCTAATATTCAGTCATGACCATTATGATGAACAAATAAACGAACTGATACAGATGATAGACTTTTGCAAAACCATGCAGATATTTTATCCGTATTCTATACAAACGCATCCGGTTTCATTTCCTGGTGAATCTCCAGAAGACTGTCCCAGAGATATTTCCAAATCAGAGTAATTATTCAAATAACATTTAATATTTATTGTAATAATATATGTTAATAATTATAAAAAAATGCTGAACCTTCCTTATACTTAAGTTAAATTATTAAATATTATGATATTAACGTATGTTTCTTTTTTTCTATTTTTGTTTTCCTTTATGCCACATAGTGCGGTTAAACGGAAGTGTATCAACGCCATGCATCCGGATCAATACGGTCATTACCGAGAGGCGAAATTCACCCAAACCAAACATCATTGGTGGTGGAAAGCAAACAGGGTGTTCAATGAATTGGACATTGTCAGTAATTATTCAGGTGTGTAACGGATTCGTCGCTTACCTCTGGATCTCGAATATGTAACGAATTCAGATGTGGCAATATATTTGTAACCTATCTATATTCCATATGTTTTAACGGTGGTCAAATACTGTGTCGATTTATTTTTTTTCGCAAAAATTGCAATATTATCAATGTAATATATTTATATACGTAGGTACAGAATGATTCACAAAGCATGACTATCTCTATTTTTCCTTAAATAATAAATTTTGATTTGGGAATTTTTTAATATACTTAGGTATAATTATCAAATTTTAAAATATTTAGATTTTTTAAACTAAGATTTTTTTTTTTGGAGGAGGTTGTTTCGAGATCTAAGACATCTTTAAACTTCTGTTTATGAATTAGTCGAACGATATTTATATATCATTTAAATATAATTTTCAGGCCCAATCTTATTTTTGGAAGACGACCATTATGTAGCAGAAGATTTCATATACATGCTTAAGTTGATGGAAAAATCATGTAGCGTGGCGTGCCCACAGTGCAGTATATTGTCGTTAGGAACATACTTGAAAACATACAATTTTTATGGAGAAGCAAAGGTACGTTACAATACTTTTATATTTACATATGTATATGATATCCATGACCTCTGTGACATTTATGTTGAATATAATACGGTGTTAATTGATGACAATTTTTTCATTATGACTGTTGCGGTTTTGGATCGATTTTGAAACACACACAATACTTTACATAAACGCATAAACAAAATCGACGTATAATAGAAGGATATTTTAAGGGTAATACGTCGACAGCAAATATTTGCTGCAGAATTAACACCGCCGACTTGGAGTTTTAAAATAGTTCCTTCATTTTCACATTATGATAAGGTTGAACAGTTTTCCTTACTTGTACCTATATACTTTTTTTGCATGCATATATTATCTAATCCTATTAATTATTCCTATAACCCAATTTTAGTTTCTGTATTTTTTTCATTTTATATTAATAATTGAACCCGCTAAAAAAAGTATTATTTTCATATTCGATATAAAAATATCTGCATGCATATTGCATATTGCCTACTATAATCGCTACCGGTTTAATGTAATTATACTTTTAAAAAATCCAATGTATTTATTAGATGTTTTTCGTATAGTTGCATTTTATTACTTTTTTATCTCACATACAGAAAAGTGTGCAACATGAATTAAATATGTTTTAAAACGCAGATTGCTGAGAATAAATTTGTTTCATAAGTATATGTAGTAATTTAGGTGCATTAACCTTGAACTGTTGGTTATTAGTTAGAAGCCTCTACGCGACTTGTCCGCCATGCAGTTTATCAATACGTTTAATTTAAGGAATAAGGTAAAATGTATTCCTATCGGCTATCAATCTTAGTTCGTTTGTACTAATGGTAATTTACTAATTAAAATTAATAAGTGGACATTTACCCAACTAGCTAAATAAATAAAACTGTTTAAATTGCATTACAATAAGCCATACAATTATTTCGCCAATTGACGTGGATGTGTGTCTTGATTATACTTAATACTTTTGAATGTCTGTTTTGCATAATTAATAAAATTTGTTTAGGGTTCAGTAGTAGTCATAGAAGCTAATAATTTAAATTTCTCTTGAATTGATTAATCAAACTAATTAAAATAACTTGTTAATTTAATTTAATTTGTTTAATTATTTACAATAATATCATATAGGTACTAAGAGAAAGTATTAAAAAAATTAATTTTAATGCAAGTTAAGTAATACCTATTTATTCATATTGCTAAAAATATATACTTGTAATATGGAATATTTATAAGAATAGAATTTTATCATTATATAAGCAATTAAAATACTTAAAATAACTTGAAATAAATTGAATTAATTTCATTTTTGAATACCCTAGCAATTTATTTTTTATATAAAATAAAATGATAAAGTACTAAATTTTTAATATCTAACATACCCGATAGCATAAAAATACAGACTAAATAACAACAATAAACGTACTAAACTTACAAAGTTAACAAAATCTTTAATTTTAAGAAACTTAAAATTTATAAATATTATTATTATTATTATTACTATTTTATTTCTTTGAAGCTTAAATTTTTTCAATGCGATTACTGATTGTGTAATTTTTATCAAGCAAGGTATGATATTCTTCAAATAGTTCATATCATTTAATTATTTATAGTTTTATGAGATATTATTGCTAACAGTTAGGTACCAAAATTAATTTTGATTATTAGCATGAATTGTTTGCTTGTTCAGAGTTGTATGTTATTAAATTTACAACTATTAATCTGTCTTATGGAAAGAAAATGACATAAATTGTCAAATATACTTTAGGTATTATTATACCAATTAAGCATTTAGTTTCTAAAACTGTTTTTATAAAACTAATAAAATCTATAAAAAACAATTTTATGTTTGTTATATCTGTTAATTCTTTTTAATATTTAATATTATGATTGTACTAAAATTATTGTTAATTTTAACAAAAACATTGTTTAATGGATTTTTTGGCTTACACTCCTAAAAGTATGTAGTTTTCTTTAGTTTATATTTGTTTGATTGATGTATAATAAATTACATTTTTTACTGTTAATTTATATGGAATATCTTTAAGGTAGTACTTTGTGTTGATTTTATATTTTGACTGTTCTAGTTATGTTAATTTGAGCATTTAAATAGTTGATGTAACAACAATTATTAGTTATTTTTGTGGCATAAATTACATATTGTATTTGTATATTATATAACTCTTAATTTAAATGTTGATAGAAGTCAAAGAACTTAGCATTATTACTCATTACTTAAAGGTTTTTTTTACTTTTTACTTGTTTGTTTTATCTTTTTCTTTAAGTGTGTAAACTATAAATGTATTTTATAAATTTAAATTAACATCTATTGATTTAAAGACGAAAAAAGGTTAATTAATAATAATTACTTTATAGAATTATTTTCAGTGGTTGCTATAAAAATGTTGCATTGATTTATTTAACAGTAGTTGGTTCTTGAATTACTTTAGTTAATGCATTGCATTGTGATTGAAGAACATACTTTAGCTAATATTATTAGTTATATGTATGTTTTGATAATAATAAGGTTTTTTTAAGCATGTGAATTTATTGTTTCATTTTGTGTTAGATTTTTTATTAATAAATAAAAATAAAGTAATTTAAATAATATACATGTTTCATTTACATTTAAATTCATGAACAATTTGTATAATATTTAAAAAATTTTAGGCTGAAATTTCTCAATGGATTAGCAGCAAGCATAATATGGGTATGGCATATAATCGAACTGTTTGGAAACAGTTTGTTGATTGTGCTGATACATTCTGCAAATATGATGATTACAACTGGGATTGGAGTCTGCAGAGTGTATCCAATAATTGTCTTAGCCATGAGTTTAAAGTGTTTGTCCTCAAAGCTCCTAGAGTATTTCATATTGGTGAATGGTAAGTGTTCATAAAATTAAAACATTCATGTATAAAATAATAATGTAAATTATTTTTCTTGTATAGCGGTGTTCATCATAAAAAAAGTTGTTTTGATATGGCGCTCATAGCTAAAGTTCAAAAACTGCTTAGTTCAGTATATAAATATTTATTTCCAGAGAAATTAGAAGTAACCTATGCTCCAATCAAAAAAAAAGTATTGCACAAAGGAAATGGTGGATGGGGTGATGTTCGTGATCATAAACTATGTTTGCAAATGGTAAATCGCCTTTGGTGACATTTGGCACTTAATTTTTAATATTTATTATATTAAAGAAATAGATAAGTTCCTATATTATGGAGTATAGACCTCCTAAATGTGTAGACATAATATTCAATATTGTAATTTTGTAATATGTATTGTTATGTCTATGCTTGAACCAAGTCTTATTTATTGTATTGTTTTTATTATTATTATTATCATTATTTTTGTTCAGTTATTATTATTTTTTTATTGGGTGAAATTTGATTTTTATGTATATTGTTGCCATAATTGCGCTCAAGAGTTTTATTTTTATGTAGTACGGCAACTACTATAAGTTATATTTAAGGTTTGATAACTAATACATTATTTATATATTAATGCATTCATAATATTTTTTAAATATCACTATTGGTTTTATTTGGTATGAATTTATATACCATAGTGATTTTTAAATTATATTGTCGGTATAACTAATAAGTTTTATATTGACACAAAAAATAAATACTTAACTTTATCCTATTCAACATAGCAACTGAAAAAAAAAATAGAGTACATCTTATTGTACTACATAAAACATGTATTTTGTATTTCATAATTTAGCTTCAGTATTTTACCTCCATTAAATGCATTGTTAAAACATAATAAGATAAAAATTAAAATTAAAAGTGCAACTCTGAGATTAATTTTCTAGTCATTTGAAGTCAATATTTAACTTTTAGTTGCATTCATTTCCAAACTATCAATAGTCATTAGGTTAAGTTTTAAATGCAATTGTAATTTGTAATATAAAAGAATTACATGATAAAAATGTATGAATTCCCTATATATATTTTTCTTTCATATTTATAAACATAAATCTCTTTTTAATTTAGATTTAGTTGGAAAAATGTATTCAAATCTTTAAATCAAAAAAAAAAAAATAGTAACAATAAATTGTCACTAAGTTCAAACAAATTTCATACAAAAATAGTTATTGCTTAATATTTGTGTTATTTAGTATAACTGAATCTATAATAATAACTTTAAAATTATAATTTCTGAAGCAAGAAATTGTTTATTCATAGTCTTTTAACCTTTTGTCTGTTCTATTAATTGCATTTTTATTTATTTAATATGCCATTATACAGATAATATATGTTTGAGTTAAGGACCATGAGTAATAAGTGTATGTATATCTACATATAACACTAGATTCTCGGATTGCAGAATATCCATTAAAAGTTATATCTCTATTACACTGTATTCACATCAACTCAATAATAACGATGCAGTTTTATCTTGGTATTTTAAAAATAATTTAATAATTTTTTTTAACAGAAATGTATTGTTTTTATTTATACTTGGAACTTAATATACATTTTATTTTTTTAATAACAACATAAATGATTCAAAATAAAAACTAGGTTACTGAAATAAATATTTTTTAAATATTTATCAGGCTATTATGGGTAAAAAATAAGATAATTGCATCGTTCAATGTCCTTTTGTGTTTTAATTTACAACTATGTTCATTTTAATATCTACACCTTAGTTGAACATGACTGGTAATAATATATATTTTTATACTTAACTTACTCATGATTAAAATCATTACTTTGATATCAAAATTATTTATAGTATATTTTGAAATAATTTGGTTATTATTATCCAAAAATATTGGTTTACATTTAAAATTGGCTTCTTCCTTAATAATATTTATAACTCAAACAATGATAGTATTTATAATTGTTTTGAAATATATTCATTAATTATTATTCATACTAATCATTTATTAATATTATTTCAACTATAATATTCTTAAATTGTATAGAGATATATTTAGTAATAATTTAATTATATTATATTTAATATTTATATAACTATCATACTATACTAAATTATAGATTGGAACCCAAATTATGTTTTTTAGTTTCTTGTAAAAGTAAAAGTTATTATTTTGAATTGAATCAATATTTTTGAAAAGTGATTATTATAGAATCAAAAATAAATCAATGTTACATTCATTGTTACAATTAAATACAATGATAATATAAATTAAGAAACATTTAAAAACCATTAATATGCTGTTTATTTATATGTATTGTATATTATATTCAAGTAGTCAAGTATGCTCAATAAAATGTATGTTTACAGAAATTAATATTAATAAATAAATGTATTCATATAGCTTGAACATAAATCATTGTAGTATTATTTGCTTTAAAATAACCATCTTGCGTTTCAAAACTTTTGTTATTTAAATTTTTATTCTTATTCATCAGATTTAAAAATACAGGAAGTACAATAATTAACTTTTTATTATTGTTATTGCTAAATTTAATACGCATAATATTGAATAAGTTACTTATAAAACATATTCTTCGTGCCCAATATCTAGGCTCTAAATCATTATTTGTAGTTTATACTTACATGTATATTAATTAATAATCAATATGTAATATTATGTTTGTTGACCTAAATCAAATTATTATTTATTCATAAAATATATTTTTCATATTAAACTACTAGAATTTACAATAATTAAAGATTAACCTCCCTTTTAATCATCTACCAAATTGATGCCTGATTGGTGCTTACCAGTCAGTATAATAATATGATATTGTATACTAACTAATATTATAAGAGCAATGTTATTACCTATAATGATTTTAGTGAATTTAATTTTGTGAAAATAAATTAAAATATTAAAACAGTACATGTTGGTAGATTGAAATATATATATTTTTTTTATATGTTTACATTATATTATAAAATATATTGATTTGTATTTCATCAATGATATTACTTATTAGCTAGAGGTAAGAAATCCCAATCAATAAGTTATTTTGATTGGTGTCCTTTTGCAATATGATATTCAATATGTTTAAGTGTGATAATATAAGAATAAGCTTTATACAAATAAAATAAATACTATGAATATTTTCCTGTTTTTTTTTACATGTACTGTACAATAAACTGAATTAACTGCTATACCTACATTGTTTATGATTTTTGATTTCAAAATCTACATTAATATTTAAAATACTTTTTATATGTTTTAATGGTTTCTTTTCTATAAAAACAACAAATGCACATAGTTTGTATTTATACCATAATGTAATGTTAAACTAATATTTTATTCTTTTAATAGTTTCTTTTTTATAAAGACTAGAGTCAAATAATTCAATTAACTTTTATTTATATAATTCTGGTGATGCTAATATAATTTTTTTAGATTACAAAATATTTATTAAAATTTCATAAATAAAACATTTTTTATGATTATACATTCTGTATGATATTGTTTTATTGATACTGTTCTACTTGTACATCAATTTTAAACATACTTAATTTATTAGTTTACATATTTTTAATGATTATGTACTATATCTTTTATTAGTTTTAATTACTATGCATAATTTTACCTAGGTGTATAATTATTTAACACTTAAAAAATGCCATACCTACATATGTTATCACTGCCTCATATACATATAACATAGCAGCAAATTTGTGTTTAGTAGAACTTAACATACATTGTTAGTTTTAATATTAAATTGAGTTGATTTATTATTAAATTTAAAATCAGTGATAAAGCTTTTAAATTTTTAAGCAAAAAATTACAAATTGAAAATGTGCATAGGTATCTTAGAAATTAAAATACTGAAAACATTTTACTCTCAATCTTTAATAATTTCTTTACCTTTAGCTTTGATAATAGATCAATTCTATCTAATATTAAAGCAATAAAGCTAATAACATATAATGAATCTTAGTGAACAAAAATTTGCTATGTTTATAAGATGAAGTCAACATATGTGAGTGTGATGTTCTTAAATTACGTCATTATAATAATATTAAATCAATATTTCTTTGCTCTTTTAAATCATTCTTTCAAGCTTTCTTTTGTAGTACATAAATGATAATAATAGCTATCAAATCGTAGTAGGTAGTTGTTACCTTTTAACTATAAACTAGGAACTTAGAGACTTAGGAGTTTGTATGTTTTTTTTAAAAATAATCCAAAACATAGCTAAGTAACAAGAAATTCGTTTTGTAGTATTAGGTAGGAGTTGAAAACAAATTTTTATTTTGCATTTTTAGCTCTTTTTTCCACATAAGCTCATATTCTATGATATTTATATTTTAAGGGCATTTTTCACATATTAAGCAAAATATTTTCATATTTAAAGACTTATTGGTCGTTTATTTACAGTCGAAAATTTTAGTTAGACTATGCAACTGTTTATTTGGGTAAGAGTTTTATAATTATTTAATCATAAATATTACTGTATGCATTTATAATTAAAATGTTAGTATTTTCTTTTTAAGGCAAACTTAAAAACTAAGAATAATTAAGAAAAAAAACTAAGCTGCTTATTTAAAATTTTTTAGTTATTTGGTTTTTAAATTATACAATCAAACATATTTAAGAATATATTTAAGCATTTTCGTGTATTAGAGTGTACATAGTAAATTTTTAAGGTAAAAATGCTTACATTTATAATGTTTTTTAGAGTATTTAGTCCTTAGCCTTACTAGTATATAACCAGCTCTTATTACTTAGATACCGCAACACAATTATTATTAAAATCTATAAGTAAGATATGTATTATAATTTCTATAGTTTATATATTTTAGATTATAGTGGATAGTAGGTATGTAAATGTACGTTTAGTCTTTAATGCACGTGTTATGTCTTATTCAAAATATCTACACACGAGATAGGTACCTAACATTTGTATACGTTTTATGAATATACTTGTATGTCATTTATAACAAGACAACGAGTTGACATACAAACAAACAATTATTAATTTTGATATTTGTTTTTACCGGTTTCACGAAGACTTATTTCTTTATTTTAACAATAATAATATAAATTCACTAGACCATAACACTAATAATTACTTATATCGGTGTTCTACTGGTATTGTAAGTAGATATTTCGCTAGTAGCTAAGAGTGTAAATTATGGGTACTTACTATGTATTATTATGTATCTATCTATAAAATTGTTTTCATTGTCATAAAAATTGATTTTATATAAGCTGCAGTATCATATTGCTATTAGCAATGTACGAATGTATCATAGAAGCATGTACTTACAGTGTCATACTTTTTTTTTATTGTATTTCAACCATGAAATTATAATTTTACTGCGCCTTCGGTTGGCTATACCATAAAAGACACGTTTCTGTCATATAGGTAGGTATACTAGGATTTAGGAGGCGTAAAAATTAAATAATGGAATGCAACTTGAAATAGT